AGCTGGTTTTGGAGTTGGACTCTGGCTCAGTCCCTCTCTAATTCCAAGCCTGTTGTTTAAAGAAAAACCCAGAGTTTCTGGAGTTTCTGTCTCATGTCAAGAGCCATGATATGGGACAGAAAGAAATATGAGTTTAGAAAACATCTTTGCTTTTCTTCATATCTATCATACCTTTCATTGAATATATCTATCATGCCTTTTATTGAATATATGTATGTCTGTATATGTCTATATGACTAATGTTTAAGTTTTCCAAAATGAGCAATGAGTTTTTCCTGCAGTGACACTTGAAGTTTCCAGGAAGAAGATGGGGCCCCACAACAACAGCTACACCTGGTTGATATGACATCATGATACTGATAGCGCTACTACAAGTCTTGTTTCAGGTATCAGCTGCATAAGACAGTTCCAACTTGGTTAGCTGAAATGGTGCACATCCTGTACAACATTCTGGCCATACCTCCAAAAAATATTTAGAGACTATTTGCAATTTTAAAAGACATTGATCTTGAAATTTAACCATCATTTTACTTTCACAGGATCACCCAGAAAGAACGTCACCCCCATGTCAGCTGAAAGTAATTCTAGAGAATGACATCCCCTCTCCCAATAAAGTTTGTCCTTGGGTTTAGGGACATCATTCAGGGGTTGGTCATAATTAGTATAGGGTTGAGGATTGGGGAAGGAATTTTATAAGCTCAGGGATCTTTTTGGAAAAAAAGAGGGATAATTGGATGATGGGATAATAGATTGGTATTTGTGAAGTATTGTTTTTACACAAATATATTGGTATTGATTCTTGTATATGGATACAAAGTTAAATTATATTGAATATTGTATGCATGATGCTTCTACCTCTGTTTAAAACATTTTTTATGTATTGATATATGTATATTGTATTGATATATATATATTTACCATATTGTAGTTACATTTCTACCTCTGATTAAGATACTTATATATTGTTTATGTATTGATATATATATATATTTACCATATTGCAATGTATATTTGTACATTGTTTACATTTGAAGGTCATTGTCCTCATTTATTGCACAGTTGTTTATTGTCTTAGTCTTTAAGTTAGATAGGTTTTGAGAATTATATAGATCAATAGTCATCTATGTTTGTCATTTATAATTAGACTAATCAGGTTCTTTAGATACATAGAGATTATATTCAGTATAGGTAGATAATCTTCAACCTCTTCAAAGAGCTGTAGAAAATGGTCTTTAATCTAACTCAGAGTTCCATGGTAGTGAGACACAATCGCTCCTAGCAACACTGATCTATTCCCAAGAGAATGTTGAGCACCAAAGACACTTCACCTGGAGCCTTTCTTCTTGGCAGAACTGGTCTTTGGGTAAAGAAATGCCCATACCTCAACTACTGACAGAGATACAGAGTATCCGTAAATGGATAAAACAGGACTCTCATATCCTGCCAAGACAGGGTAAGATAGTTTTGAAAAGTGTCTTGCCTTTGAAAATGGTATGTCAGTTACATTAGGCCTTAGCCAAAGTTGGTTGCTTCAACGCTGCAAACGAGACTTTGGGTGATTGCCCAGGTAGCCAGTTGTCTCTGTGATTTGTTGCATGTTTTGGAAGTTGTTTGATTGCACTTCCTAATTACTCAGCTAACATTATTTCCCTTCTCAGATTTTCGATGGGGTTGAAGACTATATAAATGTAGTTAGTTTCCTCTCATGACTTGGCAAAGTTATTTATTATACAAGACTTAAGCTAGTTAGAATAGGATATTTGTACTTATTGTATATAATTTCATAGTAGGCTTAGATCTCTCTTACTTAAACAAAAGGGAGAGGTGCTGCAGGTGCTCCTTCCACTCCTTCAGCCAATGGCCACTGAGATACCAGCCCATTGGGGCGTGGTCTCACTCTCTCTTTAAAAAAGCAGGTGCTGTCCTCCATTCCCTCTCTGGCTTCCAGATCTGCTTCCGGCTCCTAGACTCCTTTCCTGATCATGCAGAGGGCTGTTGTCTGGGATGGTGATCTGTAAGCTTTTCCCCTTTGAATAAATAACCATTCTATTAATCATAATTCCAAACTGATGTGGGATTGTTTGTGACTTACTCCTTCAGAATCACAATTGGCTCAAGCCTGACCTGACCTGGTATAGGTCTCCTACCCCTGGACTTCATTTAATGTCTGCTCCCTTGTGGTGATTTGAGTGAGAATGCCTCCCCCTTAGGTGCCTGTATTTGAATGCTTGGTTCCCAGTTGGTGCAGCTGTTTGGAAAGGATTAGGAGGTGTGACCTGGTTGGAGGAGGTGTGTCTCAGGGATGGACTTTGAGGTTCCAAATGCTAAGCCATTCCCAGTTTCACACTCTGCCTTGTGCCTGTGGATCTAGTTGTAAGCTCTCAGCTACTGCTCCAGCATCATGCCTACCCATGATGGTCATGGACTCTAAGATTCTGAAACTGTGAGCACCAAATTAAATGTTTTCATCAGGAGAGGGTGGCACAGCCTTTAAGCCCAATCTTGGAAGGCAGAGGCAGGTGGATCTCTGTGAGTTCTAGAACAGGCTCAAGCTATACAGAGAATCTCTGTCTTGAAAAACCAAAACCAAACAAACAAACAGCCAGGGCTACACAGAGAAACCCTGTCTTAAAAAACAAAAAGAAACAAATTAAACACTTTCTTCTATAAATTGCCTTGGTCATAGTGTTTTTACCACAATAATTGAAAAGTGACTAAGACATGGTCTGACCATAAAGGATCACGTGTGCTGGGAGTCAGGTGGAGGGAGGGAGGAGGCAGAATTTTAAGAAAGACATCCCTACCTAACAAAAGTTGGACCAAAATGACAAGAAGGGACATTTCCTAGCTATTGTCTTCCAGGTTTCAGAACATCACAATGTCTTATGATGACAAGGTCTGTGGCAGCTGCCTTGCAACCTCTGGGTGGATATGGCTCATGAGAGAGCTAAGAAGGCCCTGAGTGGCAAGTTGTGCCCCTCAGTCAATTTTAGGACTCTTCTGGTAGGTGAGATGTGATATTTCTGTGGGACTCAGTTATCTTCATAAACTGTCACAACTAACACAAGATTTCCCTCCCCCACCACAGTATTAAAAGGACTGACTTGATGTGGAATTCCCCTCTGTATGCTGTGATTACCATTGATTAATAAAGAAATTGCTTTGGGCCTATAGCAGGACAGAACAGAGCTAGGCAGGGAAAACTAAACTAAATGCTGGGAGAAAGAAGGTGGAGTCAGGAGATACCATGGAGCTGCCAGAGGGGAAAGATGCAAGTTGCCTGCTGGAACCTTGCCGGTAGGCTACAGGCCTCATGGTAAAATATAAAATAATAGAAATTGGTTAACTTAAGAGATAAGAGTGAGTTAGAAATATGCATAAGATAATAGGCCAAAGGGTTGGAGAGATGGCTCAGTGGTTAAGAGCACTGCCTGCTCTTCCAAAGGTCCTGAGTTCAATTCCAGTAACCACATGGTGGCTCACAACCATCTGTAATGAGATCTGGTGTCTTCTACTGGCCTGCAGGCAGATTACTGAGAATGCTGTATACATAATAAATAAATAAATCTTTTTTAAAAAAAGGATAATAGGTCAAACAGTGTTGTAATTAATATAGTTTCTGTGTGGTTATTTCAGGGCTGAGCAGCCAGGAACAAACAAGTAGTCCTTCTACAACACTGACTCAATAGTACAGCCTGGAAGGTCTGTGTCATGTCTGCAGACTGACAGCTTGGCACCTTTGAACTAACCCTGGGAGGAAGAGGCTGACACTTTCCACACTGAAGTTCCGAGGTGACCTTCACAGAATCACTCCCCCACCTCTCCCATATTTAAAAGTTCCTTTCTCTGGCATTCATGTCAGCAAAACACCTTCCTTCCCCATCTTAGCTTTACTGAAATGGGCAATCTTCTCCCTGGCCACAGTGTAGCAGCGTGGCTGAATTTCTGGAATTGCGCCTGCACTACTTTCCTGCTTGGACATTTCTCCCTATTACAGTCTTTTATATCAGCTCCTCTGTGACAGGGCTCATGGTAGATGAGACCTTAAGACACAGACTCTAGAACAGACGGGAACCAGCCTTAACTTTGTCAGCATCTCCCAGGGGCACTTGACTTACCAGCGCCATCTGCTGGCTAAATCCTACTACTAAAGAACATCCTTTATCTCAAGAAATGGGTAGGTAGATCCTCCTCCATCACCCAGGACAACTTGCTTTCATTGCTCCCTTATTTTCTAATCTGGGAATTGAAGGCAGGGCTTGGCACATGCTAAGAAATTGTTATTCCGTTGATTTATACTCTCAGTCCCACAGTGAGTTTTTTAAAAAAATAAATCACAGGACATGAAACTTCAGAACTGCAAGGGTAGGAAGAGGATATGCCCACATTTGTCATCAATACCTACTCAGGAGGCAAAGGAGAGGAGATCTCAAGTTCTAGCTTGCATGAGTTACATAGTGAGTTCAAGACCAGCTTATGCAACTCAAGTGAGATGCTATCAAACAACAAAAGAGAAACAGAACCCGCAAATAACAATAAAACATCTGTCCAAGGCTTCCCACACCACACGATATGTATTTTTCCTGTGATTGTCCACAATGATGGGTCTCATCTGTATTATCCAGGATGCCAGGGACCATCCTTCCTGGCTTTCATACAATCTCTTTCTCAGGATTTTAGCTGAACTTGAGGATATCAACCATGTGAGAATCATCAAGGTCTTCTGAAATGTCATGTTCTGAGAATGTCAAAGCAACATCTAGGAACTTCACAAGACCCTTCAGTCCCCTCCCCATATTTAACCCATCTTCTCTTTATAAGGAACAGGTCGATGGTCAGAACTACCCACCAGTCACAGAGGGGATTCATTATAGACATCCAGGCTTGTGACTCCGCTAATCCCCTGGAGGAGCAATAATAAAATGTCACAGAATGAAGCTGCTATCTGGGTCTTTAACACGGTGGAAGCATTGGGAAGTCCTGTTCTGACAGACAGGCACATGACTGGAAGCAGTAACCAAGTATGTCGACAAGGGCAGAGTAGTGCATCTCGCCAGCAGCTGGAGTCGTCTTCAACCCCCAAACAGTACTTCCAAGTACTTTATCGTGTTAGGGCAGAAGGCTGAAAACTTGATAACTAGATGTGCTTTCAAATTACAGTCTTAGGCTGGGAATGTAATTTAGTTGCTGAAATGTTTGCCGAGTGTGGTGGTTTGAATAGGAATGGTGGGGCTGGAGAGATGGCTCAGTGATTAAGAGTACTGACTGTTCTTCCAGAGGACTCGGGTTCAATTCCCAGTACTCACAAGGAAGTTAACAGCTGTCTGTAACTCCAAGATCTGACACTCTCACATAGAGATACATGCAGGCAAAATACCAATGTATGTAAAATTAAATATTATTATTATTATATTATATATTATATATAATAATATAATGAATAGGAATGGCCCCAACAGACTCATGGGTTTGAATACTTGGCCCCCAGGGAGTGGCATAATTAGGAAGCATAGCCTTATTGGAGGAACTGGGTCGCCGAAGCAAGATTAATAAAAATTCGGAGAGAGAGCAGTCTCCACCCCGACTCCGTCACGTTGAGACTTGTGGGGTGCGTGGGCTCCGGGCCTTATGGGGACTCAGCCCTTCAGGGTCGCTACCCCAGGCACAGCTTCTCCTGTGCAGCTTCCCCTGTGAGTTGCGCCCGCCGCGGTCCATCTGGCCAGAGACTATGCGTCGCCGAAGGCTGGCACTGCAAATCGTAGCTGTCATCGGTGCCGTGGTGGATGTCCCCAGCTCGGTGAGGGATTACCACCCATCCTAAATGCTCTGGAAGTGCAGGGCAGGGAGACTAGACAGCACTTGGGGGAGAGTACGATCAGAACCATTGCTGTGGATGGTACTGAAGGCTTGGTTAGAGGCCAGAAAGTACTGGTTTCAGGTGCACCAATCAAAATTCCCATTGGTCCAGAGACCTTGGGCCGAATCATAAACATCAATGGAGAACCTATTGATGAGCGAGGTCCAATCAAAACCAAACAATTTGCTCCCGTTCATGAAGCTCCTGAGTTCATAGAGATGAGTGTTGAACAGGAAATCCTGGTGACTGGTATAAGGGTTGTGAATTTGCTTGTCCCGTATGTCAAATTGGACTTTTCGGTGGCGCTCACGTTGGAAAGACAGTACTGATCAGGGAGTTAATCAACAATGTCGCTAAAAGCCATGGTGTTTACTCTGTGTTTGTTGGTGTTGGTGAGAGGATCCGTGAGGGCAACGATTTATACTATGAAATGATTGAATCTGGTGTTATCAACCTAAAAGATGCCACCTCCAAGGTGGCGTTGGTATATGGTCAGATGAATGAACCACCTGGTTCTCGTGCCTGGATAGCTCTGACTGGTCTTACCGTTGCTGAATACTTCAGAGACCAAGAAGGTCAAGATGTCTTGCTGTTTATTGACAACATCTTCCGCTTCACCCAGACACTCAGAGGTGTCTGCCTTATTGGGCAGAATCCCTTCTGCTATAGTCTACCAGCCCACCCTAGCCACTGACATGGGTACAAAGCAGGAAAGAATCACCACCACCCAAGAAGGGGTCCATCACCTCTGTGCAGGCTATCTATGTGCCTGCTGATGGCTCGACTGATCCTGCCCCTGCAACTACCTTTGCCCATTTGGATGCCACTACTGTGCTGTCTCGTGCTATTGCTGAGCTGGGCATCTATCCAGCTGTGGTTCCTCTGGACTCCACCTCTCAAATAATGGATCCAAATATTGTTGGCAGTGAGCATTATGATGTTGTGCGAGGGGTGCAGAAGATCCTGCAGGACTACAAATCTCTCCAGGACGTCATTGCCATCTTGGGTATGGATGAACTTTCTGAGGAAGATAAGCTGACTGAGTCCTGGGCAAGAAAATACAGTGCTTCTTGTCTCAGCCATTCCAGGTTGCTGAGGTCTTCACAGTACATATGGGAAAGCTGGTGCCCTTGACGGAGACCATTAAAGATTCCAGCAGATTTTGGCAGGTGACTATGACCATCACCCAGAACAAGTTTTCTATATGGTGGGACCCATTGAAGAGGCTATGGCAAAGGCTGATAAACTGGCAGAAGAGCATGCATCTTGAAGGGTCCTTTTTCTGTAAACTCTGTACTGTATTCTCTGTGCTGGAAGCTCAGCTTCTGTGTAGGCCACACAAGAGCCTGATTGAAGGTGTGATGTTCCATCTGAAGAATATCTAAAGTTTTCAATAAAGTGTACACCCCTAAAAAATTCAGAGAGAGAAATTCAGGGTTCAACTTGAAGATCCGAAAAGTAAAAGCCAGCCACTGGCTCTTACCTCAACCTCAGACCGAAATGGCAATCCTGCCTCCTGGAATCTCAGAAAGAGACTGTGTATGAGAGCTGTCTCTCCTCCCCCCCTCCCCACCGTTTTATATTTCTCTCTAGGTCTGGAATTAAAGGAGTGCACCACTAAAATTAAAGGCATGCACCACTGGTGGGATTCAAGACGTGCACCACCCAATCCAAGCTAGTGAAGCTACTTGGATTAAAGGTGTGTGTCATTATGGCTACTGGGATTAAATGTGTGTGACCAGTGGGACTGTTTTACTCTCAGATCATCAGGCAGTCTTTATTTATTAAAATACAATTGAAGTGCCACTACATTTCCCCTTTTGTCTAAAAAAACAAAGAAGGCTATCTAATATAAGTAAATTATATATAATACTGAAAGCAGCCTAGTATTAGCATAAGAACAGACAGGAGGATCAATGGAACCGAATAGAAGACCTGGATATCAATCCACACATCTTTGAACACCTGATTTTTGACAAGGAAGCAAAAAATATCAAATGGAAAAAATAAAGCATATTTAACAAGTGGTGCTGGCATAACTGGATATCAACATGTAGAAGAATGAAAATAGACCCATATCTATCACCAAGCACAAAACTCAAGTCCAAATGGATCAAATATGTCAACATAAAGCCAGCCACACTGAACCTCATAGAAGAGAAAGTGCGAAGTACACTTGAACACATTGGCACAGAAAACCACGTCCTAAATATAACCCCAGCAGCACAGACACTGAGAGAAACAATTAATAAATGGGATCCCTTGAAACTAAAAAGCTTCTGTAAAACAAAGGACACTATCAACAAAACAAAACAGCCTACAGGATGGGAAAAAAAATTCTCACTAACCCCACATCAGAGGTCTGATCTCCAAAATAAACAAAGAATTCAAGAAATTGGAAACCAAAAGAACACATAATCCAATTTAAAAAAAATGGAATAAAGACCTAAACAGAGAACTCTCAACAGAGGAATCTAAAATGGCTGAAAGACGCTCAGGGAAATGTTCAACATCCTTAGTCATCAGAGAAATGCAAATTAAAACAACTCTGAGATTCCATCTTACACCTGTAAGAATGGCCAAGATCAAAAACACTGGTGACAACTTGTGCTGGAGAGTTTGTGGGGAAAAGGGAACACTTCTGCATTGCTGGTGGGAATACAAGCTGGTACGATCCCTTTGAATGTCAGTGTGGTGATTTCTCAGAAAATTAGGAAACAACCTTCCTCAAGACCCAACAATACCACTTTTGGGTATATATCCAAAGGATGCTCAATAGTATCACAAGGACATGTACTCAACCATGTTCATAACAGCTTTGTTTGTCATAGACAGAACCTGGAGACAACCTAAATGCCCCTTGACTGAAGAATGGATAAGGAAAATGTGGTACATTTACACAATGAAGTATTACACAGCAGAAAATAATAACGACAGCTTAAATTTTGCAACAAAATGGATGGAGCTAGAAAACATTATTTTGAGTGAGGTAACCCAAACACAGAAAGAAAATTATCACATATACTCACCCATTAGTGGTTTTTAAACATAAAGCAAAGAAAGCCAGCCTACAAACCACAATCCTAGAGAACTTAGACAATAATGAGGACACTAAGAGAGACTCACACAGATCTAATCAACATGGGAAGTAGAAAGTAGAAAAAGAGAAGATCTCCTGAGTAAATTGGGAGCATGGGGACCTTGCGGGAGGGTTGAAGGGGAGAGGGGAGAGGCAGGGAGGGAAGCAGAGAAAAATGTAGAGCTCAATAATTATCAATAAAAAAGAAAATAAAAAAGAAAACTATATACAATAAGTACAATGACTGCTGGACAATGGTGGCACACACCTTTAATCCCAGCACTCGGGAGGCAGAGGCAGGCAGATCTCTGTGAGTTCGAGGCTAGCCTGGTCTACAAGAGCTAGCTCTAAGACAGGTTCCAAAGCTACAGAGAAACCCTGTCTCAAAAACCAAAATAAATAAATAAATAAATATACACAAATAAATGAATAAATAATAAATAAATAAAATTCAGTTTTTATTTAAAAAATTAAGTACAATAACTATATACTGAAAGACTCTGGGGCATCTCAGCATTACTGCCCCTCCTCCCCTGGGAACCAGGAACCTGATCGACACCCACACATGTACTGGAGCTTTGGGTACTTTCCCGGTTTTATCTCAGTGAAGTTCATTTCCCAGTGAGTACCAGGTCGGTCTCCCCTAGTTCTCTGGAGCGATCTGGCATCCTGCGTTTACCTTGGTGCAGGGGACACAGATTGATGTTACCTGCTGTATGAGGGAGTTAAGACCTGGAATGCAAAAGTCAGTCTTTTTCATAAGAGATCTAATGTTTTTTCGTGTGTCCTAAATGAGTCCATCGATGCATCTAGGTGATCAGCTCAAAGACATCTTTTTTGGGCAATACGATTTTGTCCTGATACCTCTAAACTCTCTGTTGTTCATCAAAGTTTGTATTGAGTTTCTGGATAGTCTCTAGATCCTGGGTGGAATATTGGAAATAATCCTCTGAGGAGGGTGGTGTCTCTGCCAGGGGTAATATTTCTGAGCTCAGTGCAGCCTGTTTAGCTGTCTCATTGGCCATCCAGCATCCCTTGGCGACGGGATCATTACCTCTTTCAGGTGTCCTCCATTCGAAGGCGAATAACAGCTGGCTCTGGAGGCTAAGTCTCAGACAGAAAAAAGCATCCTTTAAATCAAGTACCAAACATGGGCTAGAGGCAGAGTGCTCAAGAGATGATAAGGGTTTGGCACCCTCAGATTAACTTCCCTTAAATCTTGGACTGATCTGTAGTTCCCTGTGCCCAAAGTTAAAAGTCTCTGAATGTGGGGCCTGATTTCCTCTCGGGCTTTGTGGCTCCAACCGTGGGAAAGGCGGTTCAAACAGTCTGTGTTCATCTTCTAATCTCAAGATTAGAATTCGAAGAGCCAAGACTCCGTTTTCTGAGCAGTGGTTTTGTGCCCCAACTTTGGACAAGAGGTCCCTGCCCAGCAGTGGGTAGGAGCATTCCAGCACCATGAGGAAAGAGTGGGTCATTTGGCCTGTGCCCAAATTAACTTTTCTTTCTGTGGTCCACCGATATAACTGGCTTTTTCTTGGGTTTGGCTGGACATTTTGGGCAGTTCTTGACCCAATGTCCTCTCTCTTTGCAATGGGCACATTAGTCTCCGTCTATCCGTGGCCGCCTTTTGTCTCCTCCTGATGCTTTTTTGGTTGCTCTATATTATGTACTATTGTGGCCAAGATCTTGCTTAATTTAGGGCTAAATTTTTTTATCTCACTTGTCCTCCCTGTCTTTCTGTTCTCTCATCAGACCTTTGAACTATTGCTCTATCTTAGCCAAATTGGTGGGGTGTCTACCAGCCCCTTTGAGAGCCGTCAATAAAATTTGGTGATAGAAGCAGAGGTGTTTCCTACTGGCTGAAGTACTAAAGTCCCAGTCAAGGGGAAGGCATCAGCTCCTGGGACTTTTTTTTTTTTTTGAGTTTTAAGGAAAATGCGCTGCTTTTCCTTTTCTTCTCTGTGGTTAGGAGCACCTGTAAAAGTTGTTGGCAATCGTCCCAAGTGTGCTGGTGGGTAATCAGAACAGATCTATAAGTGCAATCAGGGCCTGAGGGTCCTGAGAGAAGGAAGGGAAAGGTCGGAGGCTGAAAAAGGCCAGTATTGTATTTGGCTTGATACCGAGCAGAGGGTATCAGGCTTTATTTATATTTAACAGTATTTAACACTAGCAGGGGAACAGTAGAGACACGACCAGTGACAGAAGGACATCAGTTAGCCTCAGACACGGCAAGCACAGGAAGCTGTCACCCTGTGGTATGACAGCTCAGCAGCCAGCCATCAAGCCCTCATGGAGAACATCTAAGAATTTGAGGTGGCCCCAAAATGAAAAGTTTCTAAGATTAAGTTGATTTTTTTTTAAGGCAGCAGTACCTATTTATAGAAACTTAAGGTCTATGCTTCCCCAGTGAGAGGGAGCATGCTAGCCATGGCTTTTAAATAAGACCAGAGCCAAGGAATGAAAACACCAGTGTGCCCCCTGCTCATTCATAGACAAGCTGGAAGAGGGACATTGAGACCATTCTGTCCTCTCATGAGAGTGACAGACTAGAAGACACAGACTTGTGTGTTTGCTCAGAGATGATCCACCAGAGCCGAGAGGACAGGTTCACAAGTGACACAGGAGGAACCAAGGCTGCTGAGCAGCTCTGGAGAGGCAGAGAGAGAGGCTAGCAGGCTCCAGCAGTGTAGTTCAGGCTGGAAGGCTGGCCTCAGTGCAGTGAGAGGCTGTAATGGGTAAAACACGGGGCTAGAACAGGGCAAGGGACAGATGAATGCCAGAAATAGTCTATGATTTTCAAAAATCCCTAGACTGCAGGGAAAATGGGTTAAGAGGTGACTTCAATAAAAATATATAAAGGATAAACATTATCCTGGGTAATAGTCCTTTTATGTATATGAACTCTTCTTACTGGGTCATTGCTTTCCTCTGCAGTGTGATCTAAAGATCTAAGGAGAAGGCCATAGGGATGCTGAAAAGTAACCTTTTATTTTCCTTTTTTCTATTATTATCCGGGGTGTCTCCATAGACAGTCTTCTGAGCAGTGGAGGCTGGTCCTTCCCTTTTCTAGCATACCAGGGAATGAAGGGCCCGGCGCAAGCACCCTGTAGGACAGAGCCTGATGGTATCAGGGTCGCAGCGCGCTGGCTCACCGGTTCCGTGGTGGACTGGTGTGGGCTGGTATGGGCTGCTGGCTG